AATAAGTTCAGCTAATTCACCCTGAGAAAAAGACTAAGTTACGAAAAACGAGATCAATCCACTTCTTAATGATTCAATATGAAGGATCCTAGCTGGTGCTTTCGTAACCTCACCTTCAGGCGTACATGCTTACACTTCCTTACTTCATCAATTCAACCAGTGAATTATGGACTATGTAATCTCGATTATGTGTTTTCATTAGCTCATTAAACATTGTTGGCCCGGAGATGATGTTAGGCATTTTTATAATTACTTCGAGACGGGCAGTCTGCAGGTAAGGATGTGTATTCGACCTGTATTTTTTATTGTTAGGCATGTCGGTATGATCTACGAATAGATTGAATTGCGCAGAAATGCCTCGTCAGATTAAAGAAAATAAATAATATGCAGAGAAAGATACCCGAAGGATACCAGGCAAGTTCAGATAGTGGCTTTTGCTTATGCAGGTATACGCCAGTAAGATTAATTTATTTAATACAGCCAAAGATATGATGGATGAGAATAGCTTTTATAAAAGCAATGCTATTTGAAATTCAATGTCTACTCATATTATTGTAGGAAAATAAACTACCAGTCCCCTTATCCTTCCAGAAGAAATATGATTAATACATCTTATATATATTATCTAATGATAGTCTCGAAAGCCTGCTTATAAAACATAATAAAACAACTTACTGTTCAAGATAGAAAGGATCAGATTCACAAAGTATTGAGGGCTTGGGGCCTCCCATACAGTGAGTAACTGAGCGAAGATTTGTGAGTCAGCTGAGGCTAAATTAGACTGTTCTTCTTGGACATAATTATCTACCAATTGATCCTCTTGAGTAAAGTCCTCCTCGCTATTCAATCTGTCGTCATCGTAAATATAATCATAGTCAGTGTCAAAGCCTTCTCCTTCTTCTGCCACCGAAGTCGTCAACACTGGATCAACTTCAGCCATTCGTCCATTCCCCTCGTCTGTGATAGTTTCCGTTAGACCCCTTACGAGGCCGAGTGAACGAGCAGTGTATTGGCGGTTCCGGCTTCGTTCATTCTTATCCGACACCATGTTGACGGTGCGTCTCAGCTGGTGCCAGGCAAATGGTGTTAGTAGACCCGAGTTCCGGCTCAAAAAGCCAGGTCCCGGTGATGTCGATTTAGTAGAGCTAGTTGCGAAACCGACGCCACCGACCTCTTGATGCCCTCGTAGTTCTCGCCTATTTTCCACCAGAGAAGAGACAGAATCGCCTGTTTCTGAGTTTTCTGGAGACTTTTGCCTAGACCGACGGGTTG